ATGAAGACAGGCAAAATGCTGTCATTATTGAAAAGCAAGGGAATAGAGCAGCATGGTACACAAATCAGTTTACTGTGTAGAGCTTATAGTGGATATCTCATAGTAACTTCTCTGGAAAGAAGCATCTTTGGAGTCATGACACAGCCTAATGAATGTGAACAAATGGACATGCTCTGATTTCTCATCTGAGTAACAGGAAAGCTTGTTCACAAATGACACAGGGAGAGAACAGAGTGCTTGGTATCAGGCCAAATGTTAATGTCTACTCCTGGTTTAAGTCATCCTTGTAATCAAACAGTAATTTCTGCCCCACAGTTCCCAGAGGGAAAGTCCCTTTTGGTTGAGATCCCAACCTTTATGTTAGCAGAGTATAAGAATGGCAGTCAGAGCTGCCTTCCTAGAACATAATTGTGGTCTTAAGTTCCATTGCAAGCTGCAGAAGAAAACACAAGGGCTGTGCTGCCAGCCTATCAGTCAAAGCTTGTGGAACTCTCTTGAGGGTGGGCTCTGTGGCAAGGTGACTGAGGCCTCCTCTGTTGCTATCTTTCTTCCCCTCTAATAGTTCTTTCAGAATCCTCCTCTCTGCAGAATGATGTAGTCCTACATTATTCTCCATATAGGATATAACAGAGGCCCACCACCCCTGACCACTGTCAAGTAGATCCTCTCATCCCTAAATCTGAATCAAGTAATTTCTTATCTACATTTTGATGCCAGCACTATGCTAGTCCATCAAATTGAGACTATTAACAGTGGTCTTCCTCCAGAGGGGAGTCATGTTTTCACTACCTGTGTGTGTGTGTGTATAATATATATATGTATGTATGTATATGTCCATGCACACATAGGTATGGAATATATATACCAATATGTGTGTATGCATTCGTATACTCTCTCTCTCTCTCTCTCTCTCTCTCTCTCTCACACACACACACACACACACACACACACACACAGAGAGAGAGAGAGAGAGAGAGAGAGAGAGAGAGAGAGAGGGAGAGAGAGAATCCTGCAAATATAGGTGTAGAATCTAGAATGTTGATTGGTGATCTGAATGACTACAGCCACAGACAACAGACAGCTACCATCTCTGGTAGCTCAATCTTTTTGGAGAAGGCCTGCAAAACACCAAATGTCATTGGCCACATGGGACTATCGCATTCTGTTTACAAGAAACCCCCTGTAATAACAGCACTAATTAAGAAGAGATTGTATTATTTTAGTGAAGCTTCCAAAGCTATACAGACAGAATAGACTGGTGTGTGTTCCAAGGGTATTCTCATTCATTATTTATCTGACCACCTCACCTTTACCTTCTTGCAATACACTACCACTAAGAGGCCAGCAAGATATGCCTTTCTGTAACAACCAAAGTGGATACTACAAAGAGAAGCCAGCATAAAAAGAACAGTGCTGATTTAAGAACATACTTTATGATCTACAGGCTTGGATTTCTTAATGCTAAGTAACACCTGAAAGGTGTGTATGTGTGTGCATGTATGTGTATATGCTAGAGGAAACATATTTAGTAAAGAAATGAATCTTCCTGAACATTGAGAATTAATGTTCATACTGATGACTTTATGTTGTATAAGTGTGTGTATTTTACAGATTTTTTCTTTGTTCCCATGGTTAAAATGAGAATCAAAAAGTGACCTCTACAAAATCATCTTCAAACACTTAAAAAATACACTTACAGGGAACACCTTGTGCTACAAATGAAGTATACATATGGGTAGGGATATATACCCTAATACACAGGGCCAAAGCCATCCCAGCACCCTCTCTTGGGGAGTAGTGTTAAGAGAGGAGTGGTGTACCGAGTCTGACATTTTCAAATGTTGCGACAAAAAGTCCACTCTATATGTGGTCTTTGAATGCTTTCAAACTTTAGATCAATTAGTCATTTTTCCTTCCCACTCTTTCCTTTGTAGCTTTGGGTTCAAACTGTCAGTCTTCCCAGGCACATGTTGCCATGGGAGACTCTGTTTGTTGAAGGTGGAGAGGTTGGCACATTAGGGAAGGGGCAATTAATTCTAATAGGTATATAGCATATTAGACCTTGAGTTTTCCCCCAAAATTTTCTCTATATTTCTACCCCCTTTTTGAAATTCCTTCCTTTCCCCATGATCATTCAGGAGTAAAAATCTAACAGCTTTTAGAAACCATTTGGGAAACATTGCAAGAGAAGCCCAATAGGGCCTAGAGAAGGTCACCTAAGCTGTTACTGTTTCATCATCCATCATCATGGATTCTCTTACGTTCTTGAGATGAGTAGCCATTCATGGTAAGGATATTACAAAGAACAATTACCCAGGGTTCTTTCCTAAAACCACTCCAAAGTATAGACTGGAGTTGGGGAAATATGGCTTTGTAATGCACTATCTTACAAATATAGACATGTCAGTTTGACCCAAGAATCCATGTTAAAAGCCAACAAAACGCACATACACACACACACACACACACACACACAAACTGGTTTTTTTTCCCTTCAGTGTTGGACTGGGTTTTATGGTACACATTTCTAATCCTAGTGTTAGGGAGGCAGAAACAGACAGATCTCCAAGGTTCTCTGGCCTAGTCTACTTGGTGAGGTTCAGACCTCACCTCAAAACAACAAAAACACAAATGGAACCTGTGGAATGACATTTAGAGTTGTTCTCTCACCTCCACACGCATGCATACACATGTACACAGACACTGCACATACACAAATACACATACATGCATCTGCAAAGTGTAAGGTTTTTTTTTAAAGACATCTTTAGACTCACCATCCCCTCTACTCTGAAGAGCACCCAAAACATGCAAGAGAAGTGGGGACATCGTTAAGGTTATTTTAATTTTTATTATTATTTTTTATTTTACATGTCGATCCCAGTTCCCTCTCCCTCTCTTCCTCCCTCCCTCTTACCCTCTCTCCCCCTCACATGCACACTGACCACCATCCCCCCACCCCAATTCCACATGTAGGGCAATGCCATCCAGGTGGGGTCATGTAAATCTGTCAAGTCATTTGAAGTAGGAACTAGGACTCCTCTCTGTCTCTAGTTTAAGGGAGAATAGAAGACAGAAGAGAGAGACAGAGAGGGAGAGAGAGAGAGAGAGAGAGAGAGAGAGAGAGAGAGAGAGAGAACATAAAAGCGATAAAAGAGGGAGCCATTATTGGTTTGAAGAGAAAACTGAACCTAAAGAAAGGTCTAGAGACCTACAAGACTGCCGCCAACTAACATATTAAACAGTGGAAAGGCTACCATAAATGCCCTTCCCTGATAATGAGATCGATGACTAACTTATCTACCTTCATGGATCTCTAAGTTTTTATCATTGTAACAATCATATAGACAGTAAACAAGGAGCTGACCAAGTTTGGCCAATTGATTAGTCAAGGTTGGAAGAACAGTAACAGTTATTAGTATTAAGTGAGGAACTTATTCTCTAAGCACTTGAAGAAGGAAGAGGAGCCTGAGGGGTTCTTAAAAGATGGATCTGGTCCCCTGTGCCTGAACATATAGTCATCGCAAGCTTTCTTGAGCCAAAGTAACTGGCTCTAATGTGAAAGACAAATGTTTATCTCTGAATCTTTGTTTTTTTTCTCCCAGAGAGGACTGGGTTGCAAACAGAATTCTTGTCCCTTCCTGCTCTCAGCTGACATTGCTGTACAGCTGTCCGACAGCTGTTGAGGTCTATCCTACAAGTAGTATCTTTGCAATGGTTGGCAAATGGGTATACATCTGGGATGAGATGTTCAAATGATCTCAGGACCCCATAGAATAAATCAAAACACTGAAGTAATGCCTTGGACAAGCTTGTTCTGATGTAACCCAATTGCTGAACATTATTTCATGGCCATTACTGAACTGAGTGATCTATTTCATCAAAGCATGGTGGACTATGGAATAGTCTTCATAGCTGACACATAAGGCAGGTAGGAGAGAGAAAGTGATCTTCACATGTCTGAGAACTCCCAAGTTCCGTAATTCAAAGAACTTGACCATGAGATGTTTCCTAAGAGTTTACATTCGGGCATGAGATGGACAGGGTAAGCCAGGGTTATAATACAGGTAGGCTAGCTGATAGACCTTCTTGGATACTGTGTGTTGTGTTTCCTTCAAGAGGTAGCTCTCTGGACAAGAGATGCATTGGTCAGCTGAAGTGTTTTTTAACTGATTGTTGCAGTTCTTATCACACATTCCCTTTTAGGGTGAAACAGTCCATTAACTCTGGTTTAGTCTGGGCCCATTTCCCATTTTGTTTCCTGTTAACTGACAGCAGTAACAGGAGTATATGGCAATAGTTCAGCTTTCTCTACTCCAAATTCTGTATCTAGCTGTTGTGCATCAGGCAGCTGCACATATAAGTGGGAATATTTTTGTGTGTGTGCTAACCCTGGTATCCTTACCTAGGACCACATTTACCTTGGACAGACAACATATGTGTTATCACAGAAGCTGAGAACTTCTAAGGTCTCTAAGTGTCAGGCTTTGGAGAAGGGCCTAAAGATGAGAGAAGTAGCATAAAGGCAAGATACTTAACAAATGATGACTAGGTCTGCCTGACCCTGGCTATGTGATCAGGGACATTCTTATCATCTATTTACATTCCTGTTTTCTCACTGATAAAGCCAACATCGTTCAGAACACAGGCTTTTTCTAATAATTAGCACAATTAAAATGTAGAAGTAGAATACACATACTATAAAGATTTGTTATTATAAGAAAGCTAAAGTAACTGGTCAGAAAGTTTAATGATAAAAACAGACCTTAGACTAGGCCAGAAGCAGATGCTAGGCCAGAAAATTATCCAGTGCCTTGGGCACAAAGCTCTTTTCTCAAGGCTTTTCAACTTCTTGAGACTGCATTCTGCCTTTTGGGTATTTATACACAGTCTCTTGGGTATTTATTTTGTGAACTGGGTTGGAGTAGGTTAGAGGTGAATTGGGGGAAGGGAAATGTGGCCTTGGAGCTACACAACACACTGACTCCATCACTTCACAGCCTTTCCAAGCAGACGGTTGGTGTGACACTATCAATAACCGGGCCTATTGCCAGTATGATGGAGGAGACTGCTGCTCTTCCACACTATCTTCCAAGAAGGTAAGTGAGAGCGCCTGGGATGGGTGGAAAGGTAAGTTAGAGCACCTGGGATTGGTGGAAAGGCTGTGTGACTGCAGAAATGGGCAGGGTTTTGGTGTGCTCTCCTTCATGGTACAAACATTAAGAGAGAACTACAATGAGTAGCTGGAGTTTCTGAAGTGATTAGGAGATTAAGCAATTAGGAGACGAGGTGGTGAGCACATCTTAGTAAATTACCAATGCAGTGACCCATTGGGACAGCGATGCTTTTGCTACTGAAAGTCTCCTGCCTGCTTGTCATTGTCTAGACCAAAGAATGTCTTCCTTCCCTTGAAGGTTCTAGATTTCCGGTGAAAAGCTTCCCAGTTATTAATTATCTTTGATCTATTATGTTAGATTGCTACCTGGACCACTCTGGATCAGATCTACAGCAACCCTTTGTCTGGTACCCTTTACCCCCTGTTATTTATGGTGCTATTAAGTTAATAGATAAGCTCCTTGCAGCTGTAAGGCTGAGTGATCTGAAATTTTACAAAGTTATAAGTAAAAGTACAAGTGCTTTGGGGATTTTTGAAGCTAGTTGGTAAATTCAGTACATTGGAGATAGGCCAATATTATTTCCTTCCCTAAGATAAAGCAACAATCAGCTATGTACAGACTAGAGTACCAAACACAATTTCAACCCTCTCTGATTACTTGCTATGTGCCAGGCACTTTGTTAAGCATTTCACATGAATGAGGTGACAACATGGAATACTTAAGGACTCAACATATCACCAACCAATTTGGGCCTCTCTTTCTCTAATAAGTAATCAATCTTGAGCTAAGAAAAAAATATCATGAACATTGCATACATCAAAAATTGGACCAGCTATTTTCTAGTCTTACTTGTGGAAATAGCTGCTCAAGGAGTCTATTATATACAGGAAGGTATGGCCACCTAGGAAGAAATCATTTAACTCTCTCCATTTCATACTTTATAAACCTGGGCTTTGTCTATGAATTTTAGTGCCTCTGGCCAGCATACAGAAAAAGTGAAATTATAAAGATGCATCATTTCATATCTCTATTGACAATTACATCTTTTATTTCATATGTGCAAACAATCTCACCCTTTCTCCAATCTAGTTGTACAATCATTAAACCCATCCCCTCAGTGTATCTGCACTAATATGCAACATTTGCATTTATCTCATTTAATCATGAGTACCCAAAATGTAGACTACCACTTTCAAATCTCAGCAGTACCCATTGTCTTTGATTCTAATTCAAAAGGAATCGCTTATGTGTACAAGCAGTACAAACAGGGACGAAAAGCACCCTTTTTTTTTTTCCTGTGCTGAGTCTGGAATATGAGAGGGATAATTACATAAAAGTGAGATAACAGTCACACACAGTGGTTACGGAAATGCAAAGTCTCACTACCCCCAAAGTATATCTTAGGCCCAAGAAAGGAAAAACTTCATGCATATGAAGATGCCTCAGATGATCCCACTGCTCCAGGAGCACAAAGTCAGAAATATGGAACATTTAGGGATGCTAGGCTTCAGTGGCCGTCATTGGTCTGAGTTAAGTCAGTTGTAGTCTTCCTCATAAAAAAATGTGCATTCATCTTTCTGTCTACCAGGATTACAACAGCAACAGAAATAATCTCACTGGACACTGTCAGTAATGTTAAGAGTTATTTCAACAGTAGCTCTAGGTATGCAGCAAGGTATAAATGTGTTATACCATGATCTTTGACTCAAGAATACAGATGTTCTCTGGACAGTGGATGAGTGATGTCATCTCACTTTATAGATAAAGAAAGGGAAGCAATGAAGGATTACCATGCCTAAAACGATATGGGATATCATAAGAGGATACAGTGTTAATTAAAGGTCTATGATGTGAATTCCCAATTTCATTCTTCTTGTAGAACCAAATGAGAAAAATTAAAGCCAGCCAGTTGAGAAGTGTGAATCTTGGCATACAAAAAAAAAAAAAAAAAAAAAAAAAAAAAGGAATGATTTCAACTTCCTATTCATCCCCCTAGGTCATTCCATTTGCTGCTGACTGTGACCTGGATGAATGCACCTGTCGGGATCCTAAGGCAGAAGAAAATCAGCAACTCTAGGACCAGAGCCCACCCTCCTCTGCCCCTGGAGGCAACAAGATAGTGGCTTCCATGGCAGGATGGGAAGGGTGAATGAATAATACAGGTCCTGTGGTGGAAGGAGAGCCTAGAATGGAGAGCCTTTAAGAAATGCAAGAGAATGTTTGTAGGTGCCAATTAATGCATTACATAGTTCAAGTAAGGAGGAATTATAGACAGAAGTTTCTGTAAAAAACAAAACAACAAAAACAAAAACAGAAACAATTGATTAGAAATGAAAGGAGAAATGTGACAGACAGGACCCTGTTTCCCATTTGTACTCTACGCCACACTTTTCTCAACTGTCTTTCCCACTCTGCTCGTTTTCAGTGGCTCAACCCCACCCAACATGTAAAACAATATCAAAATATTAGAAGAGAAGATGCCAGGGATGCTCTGTTAATCCCCACTCCAGATGGACTGTCATCTTTCAGGGCTCATCTACTCTAAACTGGCCCTTTGCCTTTCTTTTGTGTAGTCTCTCTTAAATAATGACGTTAGCAATGTCTTTATAAGTATTTAAACATAATTATATAAATATATTATATATTTTGCTGTTTACTAATCTAAAACTTATCCATCATTCCACACATGCTGCTGTGAAGGTTATGTCCAGATGGTTACTAAAGCTTCAAAAACAGAAAGATGCCTTTGCCCTCCTTCTATTGACAGGGATTGGCAGGTTGGACGGGTAAAGGAGAGAGTAGATGTAATCCTGGGTCCTGGCCTGTAAGCTGACCATCATTTTATGACCTGGGAGCTGGGCCTACTAAAAGGAGATAGAGTTGGCATGCTAACAGCAAGAGGCATGGAAAGTTACAACTAGGAATCCATTTGGCAGGTCTAGTAGAACTAGACAATGGTTTCTACGTATTCATTAAAAGGAACATACAAACGTCCCCCCTTCTCAGAACTCTCAGAGCTGGTGAAATCCAGGGTCTTTTCCACTTCTCTATGTGCCTAGTCCAAGTGTAGCTGCCAAGCAGCCAGTCAAAAAGTTTGTATTAGGTCTCATTCTCTGAACACCAGGCTTACAGGAACTTACACCCTCTTCATACTTGGCCAGTTGGTGTCTGTCCTTGTTGGAAGTCCCAATGTCTGGCTATCATTCATAGCCACATCACCAACTTTTGATTTTCTGAGAACAGAAAGGGTGTTGGAAATCCAATTGGGGAAAGGTAACAAGAGATGAAAGAATGGAGAGGAATGGAAGAGCCAACGGCTGTCAGTGAGGTGAAAGGTCAAGATTAAAACAGGCTTGAGGGTAAGAGGGTGGGATGAGTGCATAAGGCCTTGTTCCAGGTCTGCAGAGGAGCCCAGAGTGATCCTCAGAGAAATGAGATAAATCTAATTCAGTGGCAACACAAAGTTTGTGACCCAGTAAGCAAGCTTAGGAAACGTGGAGCAAGGGTGACACTCTGTGGGGAGAAAGAAGAATTTCAACTATTTGGGGTCCATTTTGTTGTCTTTGCCATTTTTTTTTATTTATTTTTTTGTTCAATACTTCTGTGTACTGCACACAAAACAATCACAGTAACTCTTCTGTTTCCCTCCGTCGTAGGCTCACATTTTCCCATAGGGTCTGTTCTAGGTGTTTTGTTCTTACAACAGTTTCTGGGTCGGATGTAGAGAGTAAACAGTTTCACCTGTCTAACATTAGTCTTTTCCTCTTACAGAGGCTCTGAGCTCTGTCTGCCCTAAATTTTTCTTCAGTGGAAACTGAGGCCAGGCAAAACCTAGAGCCACTTCTGGTATCTCTACAGGTTCTCCTTTTTTATCCCCCCCTTTTTTTTTATCATCATTGAGGGAACAAATCCATAGAAGGAGAAAGAAAACATTATTTACCATCATCAACATATCACACCGGCTGTACACATGAAGAGCAGTATTCTGTAATGACTGTGGATATGGCAATGTACACATACTTACCTATAGGCAATGACAACAAAGTCATTGAGAAAGGGAAGAACAGAATTTGTTCATCCAAAATTCCTCTGCTGCCACTATTCCTAGCTATATGGGAAACAGTTGCTTACATGCTCTACACTGTCTGTGTCACACTTGGTACCCTCAGTCAAGAAAGACAACTCATATATTTGTGGATCCTGCAAGTTTAAAGTAAAATAAAAAGACAACAGAAAAGTTTAAATTCTCTACTTCACACACACACACACACACACACACACACACACACACACACACACACACACTTTAAGATTGTTTTCTTGGAGAAACATCCAAATTCTAGGATGCCTTGGGCAATCCTAACAGAGGAGACAGAGCTGAAAATAGGCAATAGTTATCCTGGGTACAACCCTGTGCAGAGATGCTATGACCCCATGGGTACTTATGAGCACACAGTGCTCACCAATATGTGTCCATGCTCAGCCTCTTTGCTAAGTACATTAACAGGAACAGGGAGGACATTTCCATCCCATATTTCATTTTAAGATACTTTGTTCTTTCTTGGCAACATTCACCCTGCCCTGGGAAGGCAAAAGAACAGTTTCTGGGGTGTATGAAAAGCTCCTCAGCCTGAAGGCCATTTAGCCATAATCAGCTAGAGACAGTGGAAGCGGTCTCGTCTAGACTTTGTCCCCAGGCCCTAGTGTTTGGAGCAACTCAAGTTCCTAATAAAGAAAATGACCATAGATCCTGGGAACAATTCACTTTTGTCCCCATGTGATTGTCTGCATTTTGTTTCTCTTACATATTCATAATGTCATCTAGGGCCCTTCACAGAGGTTTGTCTGTCTGTTCCCTTGTTCCAGGGTTACCTCTCTGCTTCTTCTTGCTCCTAGTAACTAGAGTTCTGAGGTCCATATTGCCCAAGGGTGGCTGACTTCAATGGTTAGCATGGCAGCCTTCAATCACAGATACAGGAAAGAGGTCAGCAAGGACAATGTGCAGATCGTGGCAGAGAAAGCAGCGAGTAAAGTCTCCTTGGTTCTCTCCTTTCCTTTCCAACATTACAAGGCGTTGGTCTTGATACTTCATCTATTTCATGTGATCACTAGTGTGTCAGTTAGCACCCAAGGGGATGGTTTGATTGAAGCACAGTGAAAGGAGCCGATCTACTGTATTGTAATGTAAAACAGCTACAGCCAGTTATTTTATAAGATTTAAAATGTTCATTAAAAAAAAAACAGCACACAGAACATGAAGTGTGTTTAGTGTCTTATTCTTTGTTTAAATGATTTCACTATTTCTGAGTCACTTTTCATTGGCCTGTACCAGATCCACACTTCCCTTATTGGCTGATCACACCCTTCAGTCACTTGAAAACTATTTGTTATATAAATATGTTATGAAAGAGAGATAAACACAAAAGCCCACAAGAAGAGATGACATTTACAAAGGTAGAGTATGCAACAGCAATGCCAAGTGCCTTGTGAGCTGTGAAACACTGTTCAAGAATCATTTACATCTCAGAAATGATAAGGATCACCTCTGGAGACTAACAGGAGGTGGCCTTTGAAGGATGCTTGGTAAAGGTTGTGTGTGATTTGATAGGCAGAAGCAGAGGACAGAGGTGAAGATGTGGAAATAGAGATGGATAGGACAGTCCATTACTGGATGTCAGTGAGGTACTCCCCAGTTTAGCTGAAAGTTAAAACTAAATTGGTAAGTACCAGGTCTTTGGTAAACACAATCATATTTAATTCTCATGGCCAGAGGGTGGTGGGATCTGGAAAATCACATATTCTTACTCCACAGATAAGAACACAAGTCACCAGTCTGGAGAAGAAAGTTCTCCCAAATCACACAACTAAACTAACTTCAAGTCTGTCTTGTGGAATACTGAGGTAAAAGAAGGAAATAAATCATGATAACACAAAAGGAGGAGGTGATAAGTGTCAGGTGTTACAACTACCTCATGTGACCCTATCAACTCTGAGAGAAAAGGGCAGTTAGGAGAGCAAGTTTAGGAACAGGAATTTTAATTTGCTTTTTTTATGAACTTTGCTTGATGGCCAAACAGATAATTAGTTAGAAATTTCACATAAAGCCAGTGTTTAGCAACCTGGAGGAGGCTTATGCACCTTGGAACAACAAACTAATTTTTCTGGTCATGCTGGGCACAGCTGGGAAGGCCAGATTGATAGCTCATCCCACCTTGGGAAGACCCGAGGAAAGAGAAGACAGCTGGAAATATACACTTGGATTGTAGAAGGGAAGTCTGTGGTTAGAAATAAACATTTCACAATAAAAGGAAGTATTACCTGGCATTTTCTGCCAGGTAATGCAAAGTGCCTTCATGTGATTTTTAGTTAACCATGGGCAAGGGGCAAGATCACTTTTGCTTTTGTTATTTTACAAAGTGAGGGAATGGCGTGATGGAGAGATTACTAGAAATTTGAAATGTGTCTACTAAGCTGCACATTAGGATAGATCCCAGTTTTTGTTTTTCCTTTTGAATGTAATGTGTTTTCTGATATATCATATGTAACTCAGATCCTACTGCACAGCTTTTCATCTGTTTGTGTTTGAAAGTACCCACTGTAGTTTTCCTAGTCTTTCTTCTCTCCTGCAGCTGTCCATGTCAAATGGTAGGAAATCCTCCTTGAGTTCCCTCCTTGAACCCTCTCCTCATGCCAGGCCCTGAGTGTAAGGAGATGCCCTTGAACATGCTAGTTTGGACAGCTAGACAGAAACATCTGGCAAGGTTGCATTCCTCTTAAGAGTTTCCCCAGGGAAAATTCTGGATAAAGACTTCAGAGCTCTAGTTTTCACTGACTGCCAAATTGAAGGGACATGATGAGTTATCCATAAGCTGAGAGCTCTGAGCTAAGAGACCCACTTTTCCATTCAAACCATGAAGGTAATGAGATGCTCTGGGGGTAGAAAAAAAGTGAGCAGAATGCTTTACACTTCGAAATTGTTCCAATGGGTCTCTGTCACTGTGTGTGTGTGGGGGATGCACACGTGTGCATATGTGCAAGCACAGGAGCGCATATTCATGTATGTGAGTGCACATACACACGTTGATATACATGTATGTATGTGCATGTGGAGGTCAGAGGACAGCTTTAGATATTGTTCATCGAGCACTATCAACCTTTATATTTTGAGACAGGCCCAGAACTTGCTAATGGGCTAGGCTTTCTGTTCAGTGAATCCTAGGGACCCCTTATCTCCATTTTCCCAGTGCTGGGATTACAATTGTGCATCACCATTCCTGGAAGATGGACCTCGGGCCCTTG